AGATATTTTGTTCTCTACTAGTCTCAGACGCATATGATTTGATCGAAAATTGAATGAAGTATTTAATAAATCTGTGATGATAATAAACGAATCATTCGAGAGAGGGGAGAGGGGAGAGTTTCGCATCACACAAATCAATCTGTCACAAGACAGAGGATACGGCGATGAAGATTAGAGAGAGAGAGAGAGAGATGTGATATCACATTAAGATGAGATGAGATCTATGGTCCCTTTGGGGAAATTTTATTGGGAAGAAACAAAAAAAGACAAGTCATGAAAAGTACCAAAATGTTGGACATAACTCCATTTGTACTGACACTTATAATTGACATAATTCATCATATCATAATACAAAACACATATATACATATACACACATATCTCTGTCTTGTTGCTTCCAAAAGTGTTTACTTCTCTTGGAGATTGTGATCTATAAGCCGCATACGTAGCCCATCTCTCTATCGTTTATTTCTTTTTGGGATCACAATCTTTTGTATCTATGCATATACTTTAAGATTTTATTTTGATCCTTAGCTATGTGTTATAATCTTATAATCACTCCAAATTGACTATTTTCCTTTTAATATGTTTCAGAGGGTGCAATTAATTAGGGCTTACCTGATGTGCAACAAATGATACCGACCCCTAATTGGCTAATTTTGTTAGTTCTCAATCTTTCTAGATCACTGATTTCATTCATTGGTCAAACTAAGAACCTAGCTTATTCGGTTCGGATCAAGATTCAAAACCAATGTCACGAATCAACATACGTCTCACCTTCATAGTAAATAGACAAACAACACAGTTATGATAAAGGTATTCCTAAGATTTGAAATATTTTTATAAGTTTAGTAAGATTTTCTATATCATATAGTACTTACTCATATGAGTTGGTGATATTTGTTGATATAATAGACATTGTGGTGGTAATTTTGAGGGGAAAAATTTATTCGAATGATATAATTTGACATAATTTTCTCATTAAAACTCATCTCATATACTAAACTATGACTTTATGAAATTTTATGTGTAAATACTTTTGTGTTTAATAGAATAGCTTAAAGTAACAAAACAAGCATAATTAGATATGCATGCGATCTAGTTAATAGTTGTTACTTATAATGGTTTGATTTAAAGGTGGAGGTAGCCGATCGGGGTTAACGACTCTGTCGGTAAAGAGAAGTGTGTGACCACTTTCCAAATATGAGATCATGTTTATGTTCATTTGGGAAAAGAGACAAGACCAATTGGTAGAGAAGAGTTAGATCTCGAATGCTCCATATTGCCCCCCTTGCTTGTAAAATTCAGATAAAATAATAATAATAATAATAGGTTTACTCCCCCCAAAATCTCTTCATTTACAACTTGTCAATGTTTTGGATATTTTCTTTAAAATATGAATATTTTCTTTAAAATATGAATATTTCTAAATTATATATAACTTATTATCTGTCCATATTACAAAAATCGGAGATCTATATGAAGGAAGGAACAAAAACTCTCTCGGCAATTCATCATTGTATGTGAACCTTATATGACTATATATGGCGGCCGTCCACTGTCTCCTCTTTTTTTTTCAGTCCCCCGTTTTGTAATCTTATATATACTAAATTATTTAAAATAAATACTTTATAACTTATTTTCCCCCAAAAAAAAAAACTTAAATAATTTTTCTTGGTCCACTTTGAGATCTAGCTAGCTTCTTCTTTTAATTTCATGTGAAATATCCGATTCATATGTAGGTTTTATATATTTGTTTGTTAAAATCTCTTATTCTAGGTTAAATATTTTTGTGTGTGCGCGCATAAGATTCACATCCTTCTTTGTGTAAGATTTAGAATTATTTAAGGCTTAAACAAGAAAAAATAAGTTTAATTTAGATTAGGGTTTGTGATGTAAAATATCTCCAGGTATAGATAGGTAGGTGTTAAAATATCGAAGGAGATATAGATTGATCGCATGCTGTCTTTTTTTTTGAGAACCTGAAAGAACAAAACCCCTTTAAGAGCTCAGAGAGCTAGCCTAGCTACTATGGCTCTATCTCTGCTCACATCGATCTCCGTTTCCATGATCCAACGGCTCCGATTAGCTCGCTTTTTAAGAAGACAAGAACTCAGAACATATAAAACTAGTCAAACATTATAATACTCCAATGACAGAGAACTGGTCAAACCATCTTTGGTTTCGTCTTTTTTTTATTTATTTTTTTTTCTTTTTCAACTTTTAAGTTCGTTAGTATAGTGGTTATTGGGTTAATCGTAATAGAGCTATAATGTTAACTAATAATAATAATCATATATGTAACCGTATATGGTAAGTTTGAATTAAGATTGTATTGTCTTATTCATCGAGAGTATTTACAATATATATAGAGGGTTAATCATAGGGTTAATGACTAATTAATTACAATTGTATCCTTAACATAACACTCTCCTTTATAGTAAGGACCAGCCATTTACATCATTCGTGATCATCAAGATTAGAGCTGACATATATAGTCTCTTCTGTCACTTTAGATATATAAAAAAAAAACAAAAAATATTATTCTACGCATGCATATTGATAAACAGATTTCGGAAAGTAAAAAAAAGTTATGTTTTATATATGTGTTTGATTCGTGTAACTTTTTTTTTTTATTGATGGACTGAGCCAATTTGGTAAGGAATGAAAAAGTTGGCAAAATCTTTTTTGAGCCTGAAAAAGCAAACGCCAAAAGAGGCCAAGACGACTGAGAAGTGATATGCAAACTGCAAAGTCATGTAAAAAAAATGAAAAGAGTACTATTCATTTATGTACCGTTTTTTCCGCTGCTGGAAACTTACCGTTAAACTAGCCAATAGCAATATTCATATTTTGTCTGCCACCAATAGTAATATACATTTTACTAAAAGTCTTACTCCAAAAGAAAACAAATGAGTTTTTTTGGCATGTGATTGTCCAGTAACTAAGAACCTACCGTTAATCTATCTATACAAGTAAAGGCTGGATGGAGTATCATTTGGATGGAAACTATCAAAAGTGAAAGTATCATTTCTTTTCATCTTTTCTCGCCCTTACTAATTTACCAATTGGTTTTCTACTTTTCTTTGATAAATATGAAGTTTATAACCTCTAAATATTTATGATCTCTTTAGATAATTTATGACAAACGCGTATATAGTGCTAAGTAGTAGATCCATTATATATGACTTTTGGATCTCATAAGATGCACCAAATCTTAAGTTTTGTTTTTATAATAAGGGAGTGATTGATAGATCATATGTAAAAAGCTACTAACTATAGTAGATTAGTTTTATTTTTCTTAGATCCATCCTAACAAGAAAATGATATATACAATTATAAAACTTGATGGGCCAAAAATTTAAATTTTGAAAACAAAGATGGATTGTCTCTTTGTGTGTGGGGGTCCTCAATGATCTGTAAAATCTGATGAGAAGGAATTGAATAAGTTTGGCAATACTAAGGTGGGGATGTTTTCTTCCTTTACCATTCTAAACCTATCTCTTCATCACTCACTCTGTTCATCTCCTCTCTCTCTCTCTCTCCCTCCCTCTGACTCACTTCCTATCTCTCAATCATGGATCCTCTCTTTCTCTCTCCTCTAGGAGTGATTATTGATGAATCACATGCAGTTGAAAGGATCACGAGTTACATTTTAAGTATACTAGGGTTTCGAGAGATCTTGAATTTGTTTTACCAATTGGGTCAACTTTAATTATTAGGAAATAAAACCAATGAATTAGAGTTGGACGTATTTGATCGTTAGCAAATTTTAGAATTAAAGGCAGATCCACTGCCATTTATTTTTAAAACAAACACTAATTCCTTTTGTCATTTCTATTTGCAATTATTATAGTTTCCTTTTGACGTTTTTCTCTTCCTTTTTAAAAAAAATTAAAGCAATAATTGGTTTTTTTGTTATTGTTGCCAATAGAAAAATATATAAACACTAAATTGATATTTAAATAAGAAAATGTTATATAACTTCCAAGTTTTATTTATTGTATCAATATTTATTACTAGCTGTTTTCTACTAATTAATAAATTAAATATAATCATAAAATAGTAAAATTCTCGCCAAGTTGAAAAATTATCTAACCTTCTTTTGTATCGAGCCTTTGATAAAATATGTTTTTAGTTTATGGGGTATGAGAAAAAACATGAGAAATCCAAATTTTGACTTTTTTCTTTCTATAGTAAAGCCTTGATGAGATCTAGGAAACCCTAGATTTGAAAAGACTACAAGTAAAAGGATCTTATTTGTTCAATAATGATCATGATTTGTGTGGCTCGCACTCTCTATATATTTATATAAAATTAGGGCTTTATATTTAATTTTATGTGTTTCTCTTGTGGGGTAAGAAATTACAGATAGGGTTTGTTCTGAATGGGGTCGTCCAGTACCATTCCACATACACACAGTTTGTCTCATGTGTTTGGTTTCGTATGGGTGCCATGGACTCACGTGAACCTCTAAATTTATCAATTATATATATACATAGATACAACTCTAAATTTTGATAACGACCATATTAATCAGTTCTAATACTAATTTGTATCTATTTTGTTAGACCAACCCCAGAAAGATAACAAACTATCTTTAAATCATCAGATCACTACAGTCTATATCGAATCCGTTATATTAGATAAACATTTGGACTCGAAAAAATAATGCAGATAAACTTTTGGACTCGATCTCATAGTGTATATGGGCAAATAGGAAAAAAGAGAGAGTAGTTTAGAGTTTTTTTTTTTTTCTACATTCAGAAATAAACATAAAGGGACACAATTATATATCATTTGTGTTAAATCTTGGGTATGGCATTCGGACTTGTCCGAAAGTAGGATTTTAAAACAGTATTTTTATCCATATCTTCTGAAATTCACTGTACAAGTTGATGTATACATAAGACATAAGTACCCTGACTCTAGACTCACGTAAACCATTTATATATATATAATATATGTAGAAAATAGAAACCATGTGTGTTTGGCTCGTGTCTCATCTCATTGCCTTTAAAAAGGATCAAACATAGTATAGCTTGGACTCTTTTTGCCGTCTATGATCTCTCTCAATCTCGCATCTAATTAGCTCTCTCTCTCTCTCTCTCTTTGTGTTTTCATCTCCTCTTTCTCATTAATGGGTTCAAATTTTCATTACTCTATAGATCTTAACGAAGATCAGAACCATCACGAACAACCCTTTTTTTGTCCTCTTGGATCATCCTCTTCTCTTCTTCATCATCATCATCATCATAATCATCAAGTCCCTTCTAATTCTTCATCTTCGTCCTCGTCCATTTCGTCTCTATCCTCTTACCTCCCTTTCTTGATTAACTCTCAAGAAGATCAACATGTTGCCTACAACAACACTTATCATGCTGATCATCTCCATCTTTCTCAACCCCTCAAGGTATATTTATAATAATATATCAAGTTCAACTGTGTTTATAAGCTTTATTTGTATACGATATTTATTTTTTGATTTAGCTTTGAAAATTATGCCTAATCATGTAAAAGTTCATAAGCAAATATTAATCTGATTTTGTATTCAGAAGTTTTTTACATAAGAAATTTAATTATCACATATAAAGATGGAACTGTTAGAAACTATATAACAGTACGTATGTCAGGTTTTTATTTCTTGTTTGGTTAATTATAAACCTTGATCGTTGATATATATCAGGCCAAGATGTTTGTGGCTAACGGTGGATCATCATCATCATACGATCACATGGTGCCAAAAAAGGAGACAAGACTGAAACTAACGATAAGGAAAAAAGATCACGAAGACCAAACCGATCATCTTCATCAAAACCCGACAAAACCTGATTCAGACTCCGACAAGTGGTTGATGTCCCCAAAGATGCGGTTGATCAAGAAAACAATCACCAACAATAACCAGCCTACTGATCATGAGACTAATAATAATAATCATAAGGGAAATGATCACTACCCTTTGAATCATAAGACTAATTTCAACGAAGATCACGACGATCTCAATCTCAAGAAAGTCTTGACCAGGACAACCACGGCAGCGACCACGGATAATCGTTACAATACAAGCAACGAGATTGGTTATGGTAATAACAATGGCGTGGTTAGGGTTTGCTCGGATTGTAATACCACCAAGACTCCTCTTTGGCGAAGTGGACCTCGAGGTCCCAAGGTAATTAATAAATCAAAATTACTTCAATCAAATATTTTTTTTTGTTTGAAATAGTACTATAGCATACTATATAAATATATGTACCTAAGTTTAATTCACATTTTTAAATAAATGTTAAGAACGCAGAGATATCAGATTTATTTAAATCTGCTGCATCATTTAGACATTAAAGCTTTAATCAATGATATACATGATGAGTCCAATATTTTTTATCGATTTAATTTGTTTTGTCATCACATACGCATACTAATTTTGATTTATTATCGCAGTCTCTTTGTAACGCATGTGGCATAAGGCAAAGAAAGGCAAGGCGCGCCGCTATGGCCGCGGCCGCAGCTTCGGGTGATCAGGAGGTGGCGGTAGCAGCCCGAGTGCAACAGTCACCACTGAAAAAGAAGTTGCAAAACAAGAAAAAGAGATCAAACGGAGGGGAAAAATACAATCTCTCTCCTCCAGTGGTGGCCAAGGCCAAAAAGTGCAAGATGGTCCAAGCTGAAGAGGAGGAAACGGTTGCGGGAGATTCCGAGATCAGCAAATCAACAACTTCTTCTAATTCATCAATTTCGTCGAACAAATTTTGCTTTGATGATTTGACGATCATGTTGAGCAAAAGCTCAGCTTATCAACAGGTGTTCCCACAAGATGAGAAGGAGGCTGCTATTTTGCTCATGGCTCTGTCGTATGGAATGGTTCACGGTTGATCAGATCGATAATCACAATATCCTGATTACAAAAAGGTTTAGTTTTTATAGTTATATAGACTATAGTGATAATAATAATGATTAATTTGTTAAATCTTGGAGTGGTTAATTTAGTTTTTGCAGTTGGTCTAATATCAGGTGTCATAAAGATTTTATAATAAGTGTGTGAGAGTTTAATACGATGATTAATATGTTTATGGAGATTTTGGTTTAGAGTTTGTGTTGTGTTTCTTTTTTTTTCTTTTTTTCTTTTTTTCGATGGTGCATTAATCACCCGATAATGTGGGTATTATTGTTCATTTACATCTTTATATTGTGTAACGAGATTCGCGTAATAATATAATCAGTTAAGAGTAAATTTATTTATCTTTATACATTTCATCACAATTTTGATCAATTATAATGGATGACCGGCTTTAAACGTATGTCTATTATTAGTAGCTAGGTAACATTCACAAATTAAATTAAATTTTCGAAGCTCATACTAACTATATATATGTGAATTTTCTTGGGCAATGATTTTTGTAAGACTTTCATCGCTTGTGGAAATATATTGAACACAAGATATATAAAAGGATGAGGGCAAATATGATGGGATAATATGATTGTTGAGTACATAAGACAAGAGATCATGTGTAAAGAAGATAATACGTTTGTGTTGCATTTTAAGGCGACGACATCAACTTACAAGAAGAGATCTTCAAAATTTTGCAAGCCCACACATTTTTTCTTCTTTCTAGTTTTTTTTTTTTTTCATAAAATTATCTTACTAATTTATATCCTACTTTTTTAAAAAACATATATATGGGGTTGACCTAAGTTCGAATCAACACATCAAGAAATGCTTTTTCTTTTATTTTAGGGTCACTATAGTACAGTACTTACTTGCCTGCTTGCCGCGCCAATCATGGATGGATGATTATAAAATTACAAATGTAAAGGTTATAAAAATGTTAAAAAATTGTACGTAAAGGCATGTTAAAATGTAAAGTTTCATAATTTACAATATACTCTAAATTTTATGAGCGTAAAATTGTCTCTTAGAAATATTAACAACTAAAATACAAAAGAACTTCTAAGCTTTCAAAAAGTAACAATGTAACAAATTAAATACTTCGTTTTAAATGTCTTAGTATTACTATTATCTTGTTGCATCATCCAGACTAATTAATTTACTTATTAACATAGTTTTGTAGTCAACTTACATCTTATATAATATAACAAGGTTTTTTCTAACTTTTCACCACGTTACGACATTTGGCGTTCTCTGTTGATGACATGTGTCATCCTTTATTTTTAATTAATTTTTTCATTTTTATTTTTAACTAAAACATTTATGTCAATCTTAATTCCAAATAACCATATAATTAGGTAAAAATTAAAATAAAATTATTATGAAAAATAATTATAAATAAAATTATTAATTGGGATCAAAATCATTTCTCTATACCAAAAGATATAACTAAAGTTTCAAAACAAAATCACATATTGCATATGATATATCACATATATATATGTATATATGATTTACTATCACATAATTAAAAAATCTATTTTACATAATTTTCTTACATTTTATTTAAATTTTCATCCATCATATTTATTTTATTATAAAATACTATGTTCTTTTTTCACTTTAATGATGGAAGAAACTTAAATAAAATGTATGCAAATTGAGTAAAATAGATGTTTTAATTATTTGATAGTAAATCAACAATTGTGGGAGTTAATTCTTATTAATTTGTGTTGAATAAAATTGAGTAGAGAAATATAGTTAATGCAAATTTTTATAATTTCAAATCTTATATTAAAGTATGAGTTAAATGTAGAGATCTAATTAATTGTGTTATAATTGAATATATATTTTTCAGTTTTAAAATTAAAGTGAGAGATAGATATATATGATCAATTGTGTTTTATTTGTGGTTTGTTTCACTTTCTTCTTATTGGTCTATTTTTCTATAAAATGTTTTTTAAAAAATTATGTTTTCAACTAAACCAAAAATAAAACACATTGAGTTATATATATTAAACTAATAATTTAATATAAACCTAAAGAAAAAATTATTTTAATCAAGCCATTAATAATAAAAAATTTGATCATCTATATTTATATTCAATTAAAACACAATTAATTATATACATTTAACTCACACTTTAATATAAAAACTGAAATAATATAAATTTGCATTCACTATATTTTTGTACTCAATTTTAGTCAACACTAAATAAATTAGAATTAAATCCTACAATTTGTTCTTCTAAATTGTAACTCTCATCACTTCTCATCTTATAAATACTCATTTTCTCATTCTCTCATTCCATCCTCCTCTTCCACTTTATCTCAAATCTTCTATAATTGAGTTTGTTTTGTTTTCTGTTTTTTTTTGTTGGTTGTTTGTTGTTGTATGAGTTGAAAAACAAAATTAATTTGCATTGTAAAAGTTTAATCTAAATTTTAATTTTAGTACTATATGATATATATTTACATTGTTTTATATGACACTATTTGGGATTGTTCTTCCAAATATCTTGAGAGTAGGAACAACTGAAAAACAAATGCTCCAATGTTTCCTCATCTTGATTGCACCTCTTGCAGATAGGAGAAATGCTAATACCCCATCTTTTTAACTCAGTAGTTGTAGCAAGAGCATTGGAAAGTATTCGCCAGAGAAAATGCTTAAGCTTAGGAGCCACTTTCATCCTATAATTAATCTCTCTCTCTCTCTCTCACACATTCTCTTTCTCTACATTCATCTATCTTAAATATTTTTCTATTTTTGTGTTGTTATATGGATTGAAAATCAATAAAAGTATCTTTCTAAGAATTTGATCTTAATTTATTTTAGAAAGTATGATATATATCAAACATAGTTTCAATTTTTATTTCTAATGCCTTATTATACATACTTTTTTCAATTTTTATTTCTAATGCCTTATTATACATACGTTTTCATACTTATGAGTATGAATGAAGAAAGTATGATATGACACATATGTAAAATAAAAGTTTTCATTGTTATATAAATAAAAGTTTCAATTTAAACCTTTAACAAATAACTTCTTCTATTTTTTGAAAATCTCAAATAATATTTTGTAATTCATTTCAATATATGTATAATTATATTTAGTTTGTGATCCAATAGATTATTATAATA